ACACTAGATACTCTATTTGAGAAACTCACCCATGTACATACTCTTATCTCTCTGATCCTGTTCATCCTCACACTCTTTCCCATCGAGACAACCCTCCTCCATGAGAATGCTGTTGGTGCAGACAAGATGGTGACGCATTTGAAGACGGTGACTGGCATTACTATTGTGATGTCTGCAAACTTGTGGCCCACACAAACTCTAAGACCAGATTGCCAAGTATAAGGCACCCTTATCACCTCCAGCATTGTCTCAATTTAACTGCTCGATTTTCTAAAACTGAAACTCAATCAGTTAACAGTCGAGCTGAATTCAATGAAGCTCTCCTGACGATAGAGTCATGTCATAATTCTTTCTTTCAATCTGACGACGCATGTGATTGGTGTGGAAAAGAGCTCGCGAGTTTTTTTTTTCGGTGTCTTGTTTGTGGTTTTAGTTTGGATCTTTATTGCGTCAGGAAAGATCCTTCTTTTACTATCATAAATCCAAAAAGCCATCAACATCCCCTCAACTTATTTCCTAGACCACTCTCATGTACGTTGCAGTGCTTGTGGTTTGGGTGACAACAAAGAAGATCATGTAAGTTGTAGCATGGCCGAGTTATTTTTGTCTGCCATGAAAACTACTTCGTTCATGTAAGTTGTATAGATCTACCACGCGTCATAAAGCTAACACGTCATCCGCATCGTCTCGCTTACACTCCCTGCCTTCCCCCACCTGCAAAGCGGTCATGTGGAGTTTGTCATAGAAACATCGATGTCAAGCTTGGGATGTATTTTTGCAAAAAGGGTTGCTCCTATGCAGTTCACTCCAAATGTGTAACCCATGAGGATATTTGGGATGGAATAGATCTTGAAGGAGTACCTGAGTAACCTCTTGAAGATATTGCGCCATTCGAAAATGTAGGTTACAATTTAATCAAGCATTTCAGTCATGAACATCATCCTAAATTCGGTAAAGATGGGGTTGATCATGACGCAAACGAAGAATGTCAAACATGTTGCAGACCTGTTGATTCTGGTGGTTTCTACATGTGCACGATCTTGTATTGCAATTTTTTTCTCCATGCAACATATGCTAATTTTCCTAAAAAGAAAGAGCATCCAGTGCATAAACACCCTCTTACTCTACAACCACCTGGAGTGAATAACAATATGTACCCTTGTCGTGCTTGTGGAAGATCATGCAGTGGCTTCGGCTACACTTGCTTGAACAACTATTGCAAGGAAGGTAGCTTTAAAATGGACGTTGTATGCGCTTCGGTCTGTGAACCCTTTGAACATCAAGTTCATTGGCATCATTTAACATTTCTACCCAAAAAAAAAAGTTCATTGGCATCCCTTATATCTCTTTTCTGGCAGAGATAGCTCATCTCTATGTGGGATATGCAATACTGGTGAAGTTAACAATATTTTCATTTTTTTTTTTTTGATAAAATGTGAATATTATTACCAAAAGAAAAGTCAAATACAAGAGCTAATAAGCCTAAAACTTCTTTGGCAAAAAAAAAGAGTAAAAAACAAAGAGGAAGTTAACCAAGAGCAACAAAGCAGATCATTCAATTAGCTAAACCTAGACCATTGAATAAGAAGATTACTACATCCCTTGCGCCAGCATCTTGCTAGGAGAGTATCTTGGATTGATCTATCAATTTGCCTGAAAATGCAGTCTGCAGTGAGAGAGGTTTTGTTATGGAACCTACTATTTCGTTCTCTCCATAACCCATAGATGGTGCATTGGGCAGCAATTCTCTTTAGAAGAGTTGACTTACGGTTACCTGAACTAGCAAGTAACCAAAATATCAAATTTTCCCATGAGAGAAAGGAATTCAGATTCGAACCCAATCGATGGAGAACCTTTCCCTATATCAGAACA